TAAGAATAAAAATTAAGATGGGGCGAAAATTATTTGGTTGGAAATAGTCAAATATGAAAATATGGGGTAAGAATAAAAATTAAGATGGGGCGAAAATTATTTGGTTGGAAATAGTCAAATATGAAAATATGGGGTAAGAATAAAAATTAAGATGGGGCGAAAATTATTTGGTTGGAAATAGTCAAATATGAAAATATGGGGTAAGAATAAAAATTAAGATGGGGCGAAAATTATTTGGTTGGAAATAGTCAAATATGAAAATATGGGGTAAGAATAAAAATTAAGATGGGGCGAAAATTATTTGGTTGGAAATAGTCAAATATGAAAATATGGGGTAAGAATAAAAATTAAGATGGGGCGAAAATTATTTGGTTGGAAATAGTCAAATATGAAAATATGGGGTAAGAATAAAAATTAAGATGAGGCGAAAATTATTTGGTTGGAAATGGTCAAATATGAAAATATGGGGTAAGAATAAAAATTAATATGGGGCGAAAATTATTTGGTTGGAAATAGTCAAATATGAAAATAGGGGGTAAGAATAAAAATTAATATGGGGCGAAAATTATTTGGTTGGAAATAGTCAAATATGAAAATATGGGGTAAGAATAAAAATTAATATGGGGCGAAAATTATTTGGTTGGAAATAGTCAAATATGAAAATATGGGGTAAGAATAAAAATTAATATGGGGCGAAAATTATTTGGTTGGAAATAGTCAAATATGAAAATAGGGGGTAAGAATAAAAATTAATATGGGGCGAAAATTATTTGGTTGGAAATAGTCAAATATGAAAATATGGGGTAAGAATAAAAATTAAGATGGGGCGAAAATTATTTGGTTGGAAATAGTCAAATATGAAAATATGGGGTAAGAATAAAAATTAAGATGGGGCGAAAATTATTTGGTTGGAAATAGTCAAATATGAAAATATGGGGTAAGAATAAAAATTAAGATGGGTCGAAAATTATTTGGTTGGAAATAGTCAAATATGAAAATATGGGGTAAGAATAAAAATTAAGATGGGGCGAAAATTATTTGGTTGGAAATAGTCAAATATGAAAATATGGGGTAAGAATAAAAATTAAGATGGGGCGAAAATTATTTGGTTGGAAATAGTCAAATATGAAAATATGGGGTAAGAATAAAAATTAAGATGGGGCGAAAATTATTTGGTTGGAAATAGTCAAATATGAAAATATGGGGTAAGAATAAAAATTAAGATGGGGCGAAAATTATTTGGTTGGAAATAGTCAAATATGAAAATATGGGGTAAGAATAAAAATTAAGATGGGTCGAAAATTATTTGGGCGATAATTATTTCTTCGCAATCCCTACCCCTCTGATCTCGACCTGAAAGTTGGATTCTAAATTATTAGTTGGTGGCCGATGACAAAGAGCCAATAAATTAAAATCAGCTTTCTGAATCATTTAATTCTTCCAGGAGGATCGTCGCGACACCAAAGCTCAGGCAGAAGTTCCAACACGTTTTGCATTCAAGGACATCTGTGACTTGTCCATCAAAAGTGAATATAAACTTTCTAAGGCGTTTACTAAATTTTCCTATTCTTCAGAAGTCTGAAAAGTCAGCTGCAGAAATGGAGCGGCAAATAAAAGAAGCAAAATAGACAGGCACTGTCGTTCGAAAAAATATTCTTTTGGTTGAGAAATACGGACTATTAGGACAAACTTTTCGTGCCGCTGGATCACTATTTGAACAAATTGCCACAATACTTAGGGAATAAAACAATTTATTATATTTTCGAATTAACTTTAAATTGTAATATGAAACAGCTTATCTTATTGTATTAATAATTTTAATAAATTATGACTTCGAAGGTATATTCCGGTACTCTTAAAATTTGTCAGGTCCATTTAAAAAAAGGACCTTAGGTTCATTAATACTTCTTGAGAATTGTTTTCATTTGAATTTTCTCGTTGAATTTTCCATTCATTTGAATTTTCTTCGACGATATGTCCACTTTTTAACGTAACCCTTTACCACCCTATATTTCCCGGTGGTAAATAAAAAAATTTATCAAAAAATAAATTAAAGTCATCGTCTTCCATGCTGCAACATTTTGAAATAATCCTACATGTAGGATTTGGAATTTTTTAAATTAAATCCATGGGGACTAACAGAAAATGGTAGAAAAAATAAAATAGAAACGTCCCTTTTACAACGGGCACGGAACCGGCCAGCACGGAATTGTCCAAGTCCCACGGCGGGTTAAATGAGAAATCTAACCGTCTCGCAACGATCTAAACCGTCTCGCAACGGCAAATTTTGAAGAAATTTTGACCAGGGGTTCATTAGTTATAGGTAGTAGGATAACCGGTATGTCAACCTAAGAAGTAAGTCGAGATAATCTGTGCAAGCTTTGTTTAGTTATTTGTGGCTTAGTTATTTGTGGCTTTGAACAGGCCGATTAATTTCCTAAATTTTTTAAAAGCGTTCATTCATTTGTTGATGAAAAGTCCGTACATTGACGAAAAGTATTGACGGAAAGTCCATTGACGGAAAGTCCGTTACGAAAAGTCGGGGAGCCTTCTCATTGATCAACAATCAAACGGTGTTAATTAATGGCACTGAAACGACCGCTATAAAGTCAAAAAAAAGGTTCCCTAACGTTTCGTCACTGAACTTTTCGTCACCGAACCTTTCGTCAAAACCTTTCGTCACTGAACCTTCCGTCACCAAACCTTTCGTCAATGAACCTTTCGTCACCAAGACTTTATTTTTAAAAATCAAATAAGAAGTTGTCAAAAATGACAAATTGATCATAATCGGTAATTTAGTTATATTTACTGTGTTGCTAAATGATAGGAGACAGTACGTAGGTACCCAATTGGGTCATTAGCTCGCTGAGCAAATTCAGCAAATATTTGTTGCAAATTTTGATCTTGAATGACATAAACCGACTTCCGCAAATTCAGCAAATATTAAAAAAATACCCCGGAAAATACTTTTATGATTTACCTCTTTTTTGCAAGGCTCAGCATTATGTGAATGGTTAGCATATTTTATCCATCCGATTTTAAAACGGTTCCCGTCTCCTTCATGCCATGCTGACGCGACATGGATACGGCCCGGACAGTACGGAGGTCTCTAACAAATACTTAAATAAAAACCAAACATAATCCATACTTTTGGGCATTTCCAATATTCAACGTGATTATCCACGGCAGAATAACGTTCAAGCTGGTATTCAAAGCCGTCACGAGTTAAGAGAGATGAACCTTTTTTAGATTTTACTTCAATAAATTCGAGTAAATCCTCCATCTCCTCGGAAGATGAAGAAAAATTTGCCCCTCATCTGATGATGAACCTACGTCCATTTTAGCCAATATGAGTAAAAAAATTCATGAAAATAATTTTTTAGTAAAAATAAAAATAGTAAAAATAGTAAATCAAAATAAATTTATTTCACTTAACATCCTTATTATTATTTGTTTTTTATAAAAAAGTTATTAATTTTGTTTATTATATGTATTTCATCTTCATTCATATGACTTTCTTTTATTCAACTTAATTTCCATAAATCTATTTTGTTAAATTTGTCCATCCAGATGTGCATTCTCTTTTTTATGGCGAATAGTGACGAAAGGTTCAGTGACGAAAGGTTTGGTGACGGAAGGTTCAGTGACGAAAGGTTTTGACGAAAGGTTCGGTGACGAAAAGTTCAGTGACGAAACGTTCGGTCACCAAAAAAAAGAGTGTAATCGGGCGCACTGCGGATTCGTCCCACTCGGGTTCGTCCCATTCAACAAAAAGTGCGGATTCGTCCCACTCGGTTTCGTCCCACTCGGTTTCGTCCCATCTCAAAATGTCCAGCAGAGTAAAAATACTCACTTTGTCGAACTAAAAATTAAAAAAGGGAAATCATACCTGAAAATAAGTTCTTCGGATAATGATATTAAAAATCATCCAAACATCCGTAGAAATTTACAAATTTACAAAAAAAATTACAAAAAAATCTTAAACAAAAAATTTTTATCAAAAGTTTTAAAGTCATAGTCTCGTTTCACTTATTAAAATTGCGGCCCTAAAGAGGGCCGTTTGGGTTAAGGTTGAAGACTCCTTTCCAAAAATTTCAATTTTTAGGGTATTTTATTCTACGTATACTGAATCGTCCCCTTTTCCACGTATACTGAATTGGCTATACTGAATCGGCGAATACTGAAACCGATAAATTTTAGATCAGCTTTGAATCATTTAATCCCTAAATATATAAAGAAAAAGATAATACATAGCGGGAAAAGCACAAAAGATTGATTATTAACTTAGTGGGACGAATCCGCACTTTTTGTTCTGGGGGACGAAACCGATGGGACGAAACCGCGCTTTTTGTACATTGGGACGAACCCGCGCTTTTTCTTCTATGTGACGAATCCGAGTGGGACGAACCCGCTTGGGACGAACCCGCACTGGGACGAAACCGAGTGCAGCGGTGTAATCGTCTCTCTTAAAAATAACACACTATTTTTTTCAATGGCTTGATTCCCGTTTAGCCCACCGTACAGTCCGTATATTTCCAATTTTCTGGAAAATATCTTTTAATTCAACCTAAAAATTCTTACACGTAATTTGTTCGCTTTTTTACTTTTTTGTTCGGTAATACTGAAGCATACAGACCCGATTTTTTCCTCCCCAATTTTCCCCCAATATTTTTACAAAATGGTCAGGCTTTTTCCTTTCTTCCATCCAATTTGCCTTTCTAATTTTTGCCTACAATCAAAGGATTATTTAATTTTATACAAGGGCCTGACCATTTTGTAAAAATATTGGGGGAAAATTGGGGAGGAAAAAAGGGGTCTCTTCAATATTACTTTCTTCTTTAAGGAATGTTTTTCCATAGGGCAAAACTTCCCTTTAACTGTAATTTTCTTTTTTATTGATTTTTCCATTTGTTTTTGCCCCAAATTTTTGTTTCCTTTTATGAATTAAAAATTTATTTTTAAAGGTCTTTCAACAAATAATTATTTATTTAAAAATTAGAATGGAAGGTGAAGATGACGCAACTGATCCACAAATTTTTCCACCCGAAGAAGAAGAAGAAAATGAACATCAACTCAGCTACAAAAAAATTAAAAAAGAAGCTTTAGCCCCCGTTTTTGGTTCGGAGGGTGCTGTTGGTGCAGATTTACATAGTGCTGAGGAATGTGTTGTTCCGGCTAAAGGTTTATTTTTTGAAAGTTCAGAATTGTTTTACTTTTGTTGATTTTAGGCAAGTATTTGGTGTCAACTGGACTTCAAATTGCTCTGCCTAAGGGGTACTATGGAAGGTTTCTTTTTTTACTTTTTATTGATTTTGTTTGTCTTTGGGGCATACTTGAACGATTATTAATTTGGGGAGCCCAAATAATTTTTTGTAGTTCTGGAACCTCTTCCTTGATGTTAAAATTGGGTACTTGTGGATTGTCCCAAACCAGTTTTGCGGACATATTTATGCGGACTCATTTGTGGGCGAAAGGTCAAAGGTTCTCTTCCAAGTATTTTTCCTTCCCATAATCATTCGGAAAACCCTGCATAATCTAGTTTGGATGCCGGCCCTTCTAATTTACCAAACTCGAGTATGCCTCGGACATTCCCTATTCGATAAATTGAAACCCGGGTAAGGTTATCGAGTGTGCTGATGTGAGTCCGAAAATCATATTTTTCTTTCGAATTCCGGACCCGGGGATAAATTCAAGTTAAAACTCTAAATTAAATTCGTTTCTTCGGACTGAGTCGAATGGTACCAAAATTACATATCTCGACATTTTAGACGAAGTTATGGTATCTGATTTGTATACAAAAGTCTAACCGGGCGTATCGTCGACTCAAGTCGAGTACCATCGGCTCAACTCAAAGAGACGCGTTGAGATGACAGTCTCTTATTTCGAATGTTAATACCCAAATTCAACTTTGTCGCATTCGGGTCCGGGGTCTCAAATAAACAAATTCCAAGCTAGGATTCGGACACCGCAAGCTCATTTCCAACTGGCAAACCTAAAAAAAGCACTTCCTCCACACATTTTTCTAGAGACAAGTAAACGAGAAGATTGCCGAAACTCATTGATTTTTTTAAATTTTTATTAATTTCAGAATCGCTCCGTGTTCTGGACTTGCTTCAAAAAACTTTGTTGATGTGAGTGCTGGTGTAATTGATACGGATTATCGTGGAGAACTTAAAGTTTTGCTTTTCAACTTTTCGGATGCTGATTTTAAGGTTAGAATTTTGAGATTTTATTTTTTTTAAATTATTTTTTTAAAGATTTCTGTTGGTGATCGTATTGCTCAACTTGTTTGCACGGCATATATAAAGTATTTTTTAATTTAAATATAAAATTTAAGATTTAACGGTACTTGTGTAGTCCCCCCCCTCCTCTTCTATAATATCTTTCTTCCTTATTTTCTTATCAAGAGAGGAAAAATGGGCACACAGAAAGAAATCGATTTCCTCCTCTGCTACAGTCTTTGCTGTGAGTCTATGTTATGAGGGTTGACTCGTTCCCTAAGAAATTTTTTTGAATAGGGGACTACTCATTAGAGTTTTGAGGAGCTGGGTACTTATCGCCATGGGGTAAGCTGAAATAAAAAGGAAACTTGACCCAAAATGTCATTTTTAAGAAAGCAAGAGAGGAGAAAGGTGGTGTGGGAGCTTACTCAAGGAATATTTTTAAAACCGGAATTTTTGAAAAATCTGAATTTTTCAGAATTTTTTTTTAATTTTGTTTTTTGAAGTATTCTAATTTGTTTTAAATTCTTATTTTTTCAATATTCTGATTTTTAAAAATATTCTGGTTTTTAAAATATTCCATGAGTTGGTCATCCCTTGACTTGTCTTTTCCTCGACTTGTCTGTTCCTTGAGTTATTCCGACACGAGAAAGGTGCGGGGATTATGATGGGAGGGGAAACTGCACAAGTACCAATTTTTTACATTTTAGACCAAAGCTTGTCGAAGTAACCAATCTTGATGAAAATGACGATGAAGATGAGATGCTTGTTTTGATTGCATGAAAAATTCTTGAAATGTCTTTTTTCAATGTGGGGATGTTTGAGAATAAATTTGTTATAATTAAATTATTTTTTGAGCTTAATTTTTGTTATATTTCTTTTCAATGAATATTTTGAATAAATGGATCTCAGTCAATAAATTTTAGTCTTAAAGTTTGAATTCCAAATTTTTATTTTGTTTTTCTTAGTCCAATCAATTTAAACGCCAAATAAATACTCATGAGTTCCCCCATCTCTGTCTGTTTCCGGAAAGGTTTTGGGAACTAGGTTGTTCTTTTGTTGCTCTTGAGGTTCGAACCCTCTTGAGTGTAAAACAATTTTTATGGGCATGATACTGAAACTAAAGGAGACAGATTTTTAAAAATTATTTTCTAGTTTAAAATTTTTTATTGATTAAAAAACTAATCTTTTTGATATTTTTGAAAAAGAAAATGGAAATAAATTAAATTTTGTGTGCTTAGTGAATTTTAAATGAAGGATCTTTAATTTAAATTTTGAGAATAATTTTGTTGAAAAAACATTTTCCTTAAAAAATAATTTCCACCTATGCCTGTGAGTTTTCCCATTGATGAATTTTAAAAACCCGAAATCGGGATTTTTTGTAGGAACCTTAATTCTTTTCGATTTAATATTTTAATAAATCCGGCTGGAAATAATAATATAATTTTTAAGTATGGAAAGATTTTATATTGCTTTTGAATATTTTTATTAAAATTTTATAAAATCATTTTTTAAATATTTGAGACTCCAATTAGTGAGTAGTTTTACGGCCAAATTGTGAAAAAATTTTAAAACGTAAAGAACTTTAATGCGTAAAAAATTTTAATTAAATCAACTTATTTTCAAATTCATTAATGATTACAACAACATTTTTATAACAATTTCATAATGCTACAATGCAGATTTTATTAATCAGGCGATTCATGGTTCTAGTAAATTTTATTTTGGACTTCCATTTTTTGTAAAAAAAACTTAGAAAATTAGTTTTTTTCTGATCAGGGGACGAGGGTTCTTTCCGAGCTGTTTTTTTATTTTATGATCGAACATAAACATAATTATAAATTCCTAGAAACTTTAAAAAAATTTTTTCTAATTACAGGCAGCTTTTGAAAAGTCTGGACCAAGCGGAGGAGCTGCTATAGCGACAGGTATGTTGTCAAGAATTATCGGCCTTGCTCCGATCAGTGATTACTTTTTTTTCAGTGATTACTTTTTTTTTCTAATTTTCTAAGTTTTTTACAAAAAATGGAAAACATACAGGCCCAACGTGAACAGCAATGTGCGATCAATGAAAAAAACAATGAAATCCTTTCAGATTTTTGGAAAACGAAAACAAAATTTAATAAAACCAGGAATTGCCTCTTTAATAGAATCTGCATTGTTAGCATTAGAAAATTTTGTTATAAAAATATTATTGTAAACATAATCTAATTTGGAATTATTCACAGTTTGGCCCCCACCCCCCCCCCCCCCCCCTCAAAAAACTACTCACTAATTTTAGTCTTAGAAAAGTCTTTGTTTTCAACAGTTAAAACAAGTTTGAGGTAGAAAAGAAAGGGGAAAAATTAACAATAATGAGGATCAATTAAATTTGGAAAAATGTCAAGATTCATTAAATTACAAATTTTTAAGTATATTTTTTAATTATTTATTCTAAATTCACCTCAAAATCATATTCATCCACGTCTCCTTCTTGCTCTTCATTTTGACTCTTCATTGAAGTCTCCATCATCCATTTTGGCATTGTTGGTTGTTCTTCTCTTTCTTCTTCTTCTCCTTCAGGCACTTCTTTTACAATTTTTTTCCTTGTCATTTCTTTTTCTTCTTCAATTTCTTTCCTTATTCTTTTTCTTGCTCTCACTTCTAATTTTAATTCTTCCAATTTTGTTGCAGTGAAATTTTCTACTTCATTTTCCATACTTCCATTTAAATTTATTATTTTTGTATCTTCATCGTTTTTGTCAAAAATTGGTTGATTTTGTTGATTTTTTGAAGAAGTGAAGGTTTTTGTCCAAATTTTATCAATATGTGAAGAAAACTTTAAAAAAAAATTTTTAAAAGAGAAGGCTGAGAAAATAAAATGGTACGGGCAGGTTGACCAAAAATTGAAAAGTTACCCAGGGAAATAATTAATATTTTTTTCCTAATTTTAACCATGTAAGGAAAATTTCTAAAAAATATTAAAAAAAAAATTTGGAATGACCGACACGGCCTGATAAATCAATCTACATATGTTGAGTGTGAATATTGTCCCGAAAAGACAGCCTACTTTATACTACAAGTCAGAACATAAGGACACCCCAAGGAATTGACTCGACTCAACAATGTCAACCTCTATTTAATATTAAAAATAATTTACCATATTTTTTTCATCAGTCGAACTAGTTTCCATAAACGCAAAATCGCATTGAACAGTAACTTCTGGCTCATCGAAAATTTGGTAACCAGATAAAGGTTCATCAAATTCTTCAAGAGGAAAATATTCAGATAAATTTAGATGTTGTTGTTCATCATTTGTTATTAAAGTAGATGCATCCAATAACTTAAAATAAAATTAAGAAGTAAATTTGAGTAAAAAAATATCTGGTCCTAGTTGAAGATAAGAGACCATCGATTCTTCCCAACGAGATGACTAAAGTCTACTACCATCTCCCTTACTTTAAATTAAATATTTTCCTTTTAAAGCAAACTCGTCCAAACATTGTTAAATTATTGAGCGTAGCCCCCATAAAGATGTACTTTGTTAGAAGAGTTTCGTGATTTTTTTTACATCCCCGATAAAATACATGAATCAAAACGAGTGCCTATGCATTTATTAGGAACCATATTTCATTGACTAGGACTCCCTTCTATGTAATTCTTTGATTACGAGTCAAAATAATTTTAAAAAGCGATAGCGCCCTTCTTAACCATATAAAAAATTAATCCAAAAATTGTTTAACTCTCCCCAAATTATTTATTCCTCAAAAATATTCAAAAAATAACCTCAATTTCATTGCCAGCAATTAATTGTTCATCAACATCATTAAAGAATTTATTTTCATCCTGAATATTTGAAATAAATTCAAAACAATTTTTATTGATTGAAGAGATTGAAATTGGTTTTTGTGTAAAAGATCCATCATAATTTCCCTAAAAACAAAAAAAAAATTTTTTTTAACCAAACATAATTTTCCTTACATTTTCCTCACATAATATATCAAATTCTTCATCTTGCTTTAATTTTGGTAAAGGATCAAAAAAGACATTTTCGTATAAAATTTTGCCACCTTCCATTTGCCGAAAAAATAAAGCTCGACGTGAAGAAATTGACAAATTCTAAAATTAAGATTTCCTAAGATTATTTAAATTATATTAGGAAATATTGTAAATACTCCTAACTGAAGCCCTGGGCATTATTCTAAAATAAGTCCCTTAAAATGGTTTTATAATTAGTTATAGATATCGGCCTGGATCTGGACCAAGGTCTGGGTTTTCCCTGTACCCAGAGTTCAGGCCCAGGGATTTTTTGACCATCCTGGGGTTTTCGAGGGCCTGCGTTTTTCCTGGACTACAGGCCCAGGCTTTTCAAAATTTCCAACCTCTAGTTAGTTATGGGGTTTCTATTAGAGAGGGGGCTATTTCCAGCTTATCGACGGACTCAAATTAAAGATAGCTTCCATTAGAATATTCACGGCAATTATGAAAGCCAATCAATAAAAATTTTATTGGAAACAAAAAATTCTTGAAAACAAACTTACTGAAATAAGAGGTTGAAAATGAACTGCTCTTGTAATTGATGGAAGTTGAGATACATCAAAATCAAAAGATTCATTATCAATAGAACGAGCAAAAACTTCTTTAGGAGAATCCAAATTACTTTTGGAGCATAATGAAGACCAAAGGCACTCGTTAGGATGAAAAGCAAAAGAACATTGTGAAAGAGCTTAAGTTTAAAAATAAAATTATCTTTTAAAAAAGCAAAAATAAACCAGGCTTTTTGATGTGAATTAAAGAATAAAATGAGTAAATTCTGCTGTCAGTAATTGGATCAACAAATTGAGGAGTCTAAAAATAAAATTCATTTTGATTAAAAAAGTAAAAAAATATTTTGGTGACCCCATCTGTATAAAAGCCAAACTTTAACGACAGAATTTTTTGAGCGAAAGGTGTTATACAAGTGAGGCCAGACAATATTTGGAAAAATAAAGAGGAATAAATAAAAGAATTAGAATTTTCCCGCCTACAGTTTAATGCTTATTGTTCTCTTTAGAAAATGATCGAGAAGTTTAGAAAAAAAATTTAGACCAGATATGAGATTATTTGTTTCAACAGAGGGTAATAAGAAGCTAAAACGGAAATGTGACATTTGATCCATCTCAATAATAGTATCGGGGTTGACCCCATAGCTTAAACCCTGTGAGTCTTGTACCAATTCCAATCTTGGAAAATTTGTTTAATTTTTCATTTAATTTTCAAAAAATTTCACTAACCGTAAAGCAATAATCACCACCTTCAATATCTGCATGATCCATTGTTAAAAGTGAAATATTAGGCATTCTTCGATCAATTAAAATATGTTGTCTGGTTGTTGTTAGTAAAAAACATTCCAATTTTGTATCAATTTGGTTAATATGCCATAAACGATTTCTTGCATTCAAATGTTCTGTTAAATTTCTGCTGAATGGTCCTTTAGTTTCTAGTTGAGAAAATATTGAATGATCAAAAAGTAGACGGCCAGTACATGAAATAGGTTCACGAAGATCAACTTCTTTTAATTGTTGTTCAGTTAAGGACATTAAAATTCGAGGACAGTCAGTTGGACAAATTTCCTGTAAATTTTTGAAGGAATACATTAATATAGGAGAAAATTAGTAGTCTTTAGAGACCGATATTTTCAAAAATCCTGGATCTGGATTTAGGTTAGTAATCTGGACAGGATTCTTGATCAGGATCCAGGAAAAATCCAGACTGGATCCAGATCCAGACCGATCTCTAGTAGTTATATAAAACTTAAAAGCTAGACTAGATCAGTAGATCAGAAAAAATTTTCAGCGGAAAATTTGTTGAAAATATCTATAAAATCCCCCCATAACTAAATCAACCAAGAAGGGAAAATAAATAAGATTTTAAAATCTCTAAAAACAAACCAAAATTGGTTCAGGATTTTTCAAACGAGCAAAAGATGTAGAATTGTTGTTGTTAATATTTCCCCAATAAAGTATTCCTCTGCTATCCACTACAGCAATTTCATCGTTCATATAAGGAATTTGTGTAAAGGAGTGAACAAAAGACTTGAATAAAGTTGAAAGTGATTTCTAAAAAATATATTAAAATTCAATTTAATGTGATGAAAATTGTGGGAATAAGAAAAATTGACACTCAATTATAGACCCAGCCCCTCTAAAAAATAATCTGATTTCCTGCTTTTTGAGAAAATTTTCAGAGGAAAATTATCATTGATTGACTTATTCACTGTTAACTAAATTCCTCACTCTCAAAAATCAATCCAACCCTTTTGAGCTAGGAAAAAGATAAAAACCATCCTGCGAGCTTAAAGAGGCTCTTACTATTGCATATGTCAACCCCTTATATTTAATAAGATCAGATCTTTATAACCCTTAAAATCAAACCTCAAAAGGACTAGCCAATTCCAACGATCTTTTTGTACGCGCAAATACTTTTCCTTCGCCACCCTCAAAAGCAAGTAGTTGTAAGACTTCGTTAGGTAAATCCATTGAAATAAAAGGGAACTCCTCGTTTGGTTTAACAAGTAAAGGTTTTCTTCTTTGTCTTGATTGTTGTTCAATTTTGAGATTAAATTGCACAAGTTGTTTGTGGTCAGAATTATCATTAATAGACCAAATACGGATTCCCTCTTCGTCATCCTAAAATTAGAAATTTTAAAAAATTTAGAAAAAAACAAAAGAAAACCTCAACATTTTGACCAGCCAACAAATTTCTTCCTCTATGCCTGAGAGGTGGGCAATCTGCACGAATTTGACCTGGTGGTCTATTGCGCAATCCATTTTGATTTGAGGGCCATGAGATTGGAAGAGGCATGAATCCGCCTGGGCGAGGGTAGAGGCCTGGTCGTCTCCAGAAAAGTGACAAGCTTAAAATAAAAGATCTAGTATTTGAAATGTTAAAAGCACGAATGTCTGTCACTCTAAATAAATATGGCAATGGGAAAGGACATCACAAGATGTCGTGAAACAGTGAACACTCACCATTGCGTGAAACAGACTAACACTCACCATTGCTTACACGGAGAGGTTGCGAGGTGTCCGACCAAAAACAGTCGAGACCGGGCTCATTCGATATAGAATGTAGAAGGGCACATTCTCAATCGAATAAGCCCAGTCACGACCGTTTTTAGGTCGGACACCTCACAACTTCCACTAACCACAACTATATTAAAATAACATAAAAAATACTTGTGTTCTGTGATGAAACGTTTTGTTGGGTCATAGACAATTGTCTCGTCTTCAAAAGACCCAAGTCTATAGGCAAAACCACCATAGGAATTAGTCCCATACTGAAGCAATCCATTGTCATTTGGCCGTATTGAGCAGTAAGACATATCTGCATATTGCGAGTGAAGAGTGAAGATCAAAATAATAGGGAAGTAGTTGAAATTAAAGTTTCTGTTTAAACAACTAAATATAAAAAGTTAAATTGTGTAAACGATTAAGAGAGATCCAAATGCTTCCTAGGCAAGAAGCGTTTGGCACTCCCTAAAAGAGAAGGTGAAAGTAGCTGATAAAAGGTAGGCTCTGTCGGTAGAGTATTCGTACGCGGTGAGCGATAGTAACTAGCAAAAGTAAGAGTGAAAGTTTAGCGTTGGGTGAAATCTAACTATTAATAGGTAACAGTCAATGCCTGCCCGAAGCTAAAATTTAAGGAGTCAATTTTGGTCAGACTTAACCCGAAGCTAAACTTTAAACTTTCACTTCTTACCATAACGAATTTTTGAGTAAGGCGTTATATGAACTCTCGCGCTTGATTTATGCACCCAAACCGGATAAAGTTGACCAAAATCAAGACTAACTTAACATATGAATTAAAAATTTTAAACGCGCGAAAATACTCTAACTGTAAGCGTCTCTCATTAAACTGCATAATCTATAACAAAGAGACAATATGGTATGCGACAAAACGGTACAACGGGTAAAAGAATAAAAAAGGGTAACCAACAAATGGTACTGTTGGGAAAATTGTTGTCTTTCGCTCTTCACCCATTGTTAGCCACGTGCCCGCTCAACTCATCTAATCCTTAACTCATCCACACGCCCAAAAACGCTCAACTCATCTAAACGGCTAAAATTCCTTAACTCATCCACACGGCCAAAAACGCTCAACTCATCCAATCCTCAACTCATCTAATGCTTAACTCATCTACACGGCCAAAAACGCTCAACTCATCCAATCCTTTGGAACGAGACTATTGAGTACCAGTCGTTTGAGTCCCTGGCCGTTTGAGTCCATGACAAGTTGAGTCCCTGGCCGTTTGAGTCCATGACAAGTTGAGTCCCTGGCCGTTTGAGTCCATGACAAGTTGAGTCCCTGGCCGTTTGAGTCCATGACCAGTTGAGTCCCGGCCGTTTGAGTGGTTGATTACCGCCGGTTGAGTTTTGGGCCGGTTGAGACTCAACTGACCAGGGACTCAACCGGCTAGGGACTCAACCGGCCGATATTTCAAGGATTGGATAGTTGAGCGTTTTTGGGCGTGTGGATGAGTTAAGCATTAAATGAGTTGAGGATTGGATGAGTTGAGCGTTTTTGGGCGTGTGGATGAGTTAGGCATTAGATGAGTTGAGGATTGGATGAGTTGAGCGTTTTTGGCCGTGTGGATGAGTTAAGTGTTAGATGAGTTAAGGATTGGATGAGTTGTAGGGTAGCCGTTAGCCAGCACCAAAACAATGAGAGACGCAGACATAAAAAGGCAAAATAGAGAAATTTCAAAATATCTAATGAATATCAAAAATCATAATAACAAAAGACAAAATGTCAAAATAAAAGTTTTATTCACAATAACCACAATTACAGAAGCCTATAGCGTATTTTTTCTCTTATTTTATTCTTCTTCTAATCCGCCTCACCAATAGTTTCAAGACCAGAGATAACATATTCGTCTCCTAAATTTTTACAAAAAAATTTTTTTCAAATTAAAAAGACTTAAAAAACCTGTCAAGTGAATATCTCTCAAATACGTCATACTTTTATCGTGTCCGGAAAAGAATCTTCTGTTCCAGCGACTGTAAAAGGGGACAATTATTTTAAAAAATTTAATAATGAAAAATTCAAGGGATCCCAGAACGTGATTGAGTTCCAAACGGTCGAACGGGAAAAAACGGTCGAATGGGACAAAATCCCGTCTGATTAATCCCGTTGGCCGCGTAAAACTTGAGGTGCTATCCATTGATATCCCCCCTTTCAGTATATCCCTCTCTTCCATTTTTTTCTCCTCTCGATTCCCTCTGTTCCTTTGAAAAGAAATTCATTCAAATGATGAAAAGTAAACAGATTTTTTCTTCCAATTTTTAACCCAAGCCTTGGACAACCAAACCAAAACTTTTGATAGAACAGTCAAAACTTTGGGATTTTATTTGACAGTTATATAGTCTTAGGAGCTCGAAGAATACTTTTAATTAAAAATTTCAGTCAAAGTATGTGTCCCTTACACACCAAAACCCTTACTCCCTCCTCCCTTCAGTATAAAAAACTCCAAAGAAAACAAAAACACTTACTCAACTTCCAACTTATTAATCGGTCCACTAGAATATATAGTAGCCCAAAACAAACCAGTAGTAAGAGCTGGGCACCAAAGTTTTTTCCACCACATTTTCTTTTTTTTTTTTTGTTAAAAAAATTAAATAAAAATAAAAATTAAAATTTAAAAATAATTATTTAATTTCTTTAAATAAATTTAAAAAAAATTCAAGAAACAAAAAAATTTTTTATTTTTTTCCCTTTCATTTATATAAAATTAACCCAATAAATTTTTTTGCTGTTTCTAAATTAAGTTCTTCAACATTTAACAAATTTTGATGCATAGGTTTAGTTTTGTATAGAGGACAAGCTTTAAAAAAATAAGAATTAAAGATAAAAAAATTAAGGGGAAGAGAATGAATTTTTGAGAAATTTTAGAGAAGAAAATGTCTCTTTATCTCACCTATATACATTAGAAAATTCACGGAAACAATAGAAAAGGTAGGAATAATAATCTTTTTATTCAAAGTTTTATACCAAATAATTTTCGAATTAGCAGTTTGGGATCTTGTCCAATTTACGCATACAAAACGCAACTTTAACTCATGGATTAAAGTCGGCGTTCGTTAAATTTATATAGACATAAAAAACATAAAAAAAATTTTTGGAGCGTTTGTACGCATAAACTAGACAAAAGCCAAAAAGGAGGACTTTTCAGCGGTTTTTTTCTCGGTGGACTTCTATTTCGAAAAAAATTTTTTAAACTTATAAACCCCCCCTCTAAAGTCAATCTATACTAAAAATGTATTTTGACACCCAATTAGAAATCGAGATTTTTAAAAAGCCTGGGCATGTTCCTAGGTTTTATTTATTAACCTGGGCCGGATCCTGGGCCGGCAGTCCAGGAAAAACCTAGTCCCAGGAAAACACCAGGAAGATCAAAAAATGCCTGGGCCTGGACTCTGGGTACAGAAAAACCCAGGCCTTGGTTCAGACCCAGCTCGATTTCTACACCCAATTCCTAAAAAATAATAAATCCAAACCTTTATCTATCCAAACCAAATTTTTAATTCCTTCCAAATTAGCCAAATTTAAAGTATTTAATTGAACAATAACAAAATCCATTCTTCCATCAACTAATTGAATTGCTTTTGTAATTATTGGCCTTTTTAAAATTTTATCTTCTTCTGATGAAGTTTTTTCAAATTCTAACAAATTTTTTAATCGAAGAGCTTGAGCTAATGCTGCACCAAAACAATGACAAATTGCATTTCCTGCATTTTCTTCTCTAAAAATATTTTTGAGATAATTTGTCAATAAATCCTCCGCAAAAACTAGGAGGATGAAAAAAATATTTAGATCGGGAATCTGACTATAGAACGGGGTTAGATTCTGACTCTGACTCAAGAATGACTCAAGAAAAGAGATTACTCGGTACCCTAAAGCTGTATTCTTTTTGAATTGAATCCCGACCCGAGAAAAGAAATATTCGAAAACTCGACCCAAACAAGAGTTTTTTAAACCTGTGAAAATACTGCTGAACAATCCGGAAAATTTTTCTGATTTCTGGATTTTTCTAGGTTGAAAGGATAAACAAAATGGATGTGGTTACAAAAGACACGTTGTTCTTTCTCTCTTCGAAATTGTTAACCCTAAAGAATTTTTCCAAAACTCCAAAGGAGATGAAAAAATAATAGTTATCCATAACTGGAAAAATAATTACATGCAGTTGGCCAACAAACAAAAATAACCAAATCCCCCCCCCCCCCCATAAAAATCACAAAAATTTCTTTAAATTTTACCTTGTCCACGGATATTTTTGATCTTGTTCTCTAGCCCATAAAATTGTATTTAAAACATATTTCTGATCAGAAGCAATTCCTGGAACAACAGCTGTGTCATTATAAATATTAGAACTTTGCAAATCAATAAAAGGAGAAATTGGGAAAATATTTGGAATTTCTTTTTGCCTTAAAAACAAAAAAACAAAAAATTTTTGAAAATTAAAAAAAACCCAACTTTGTTTCCAAAATTTGTTTTTCGGTAGCCAATTGAGAAAGAAAATCTTCAGATTGAATAACAACATGAGGTTGATGTCGAAAAACCATTGGAGTTTTGACACTTGTTAAATTAGCTGGAATAATTGAACTTATTGGATCGTCAAAAGAATATCTAAAAAATAATATTTTAAAGTAAAGATCCCAGAAATCCTTGAAGGAAGGCATGATTGTTAACCGACCAGTTCTACCCTCATAAAACTAAATTATACCCTCTTAAACTAAACTACTGGTATGGTTCATATTTTCGACAAGTTAATAGTAAAGACATCGACCGGTAGATTTATTAACTAAATATTTGGCAGCCTCCCAAAATTAGTCAAAAAATGACTCTATTCGAGTCGTAATTCAAATAAAAATTTAGGGGAATACTCGAAACTAAAGTTGTCTTTCACCAAATTCTTTGGTTAACCGAATCCGAAACTTTCGGCTAACCGAAACTGAAATTTTCAGTTATCTGAAACAGAACTTCGGTTTGTAACCGAAAACTACTCAAAATCTTTAGAACATATTCGAAAAAAATTCCCAAAATCAAAAGCTGGTCCAACCTCTAGGTTTTCATTTTTGACCCAACTCAATTAAATCAGAAAATTACTATAAATTTAACAAACCTGTATTTTTCAAAATTCAATTTTTCATTGTGCATAGCAAGCAAAAAAACTTTTCTAACCAAATTCTCCAAAATAATATTACTTAAAAATAAATTTATTTAAAAAACCCAAAAAACCTCTTACTTTCTTTTCATTACCGGCGTTCCATAATGGTTCACTTGATACGTCCAAAAAAGTATTGGATCGAATTTTTTGGGTAATTTGTCCATAGAAGGGTCGTATCTTTCACCTGCCATAATTGAATCAATTACGTGAGCTTCAAAATCTTTTGGAAGAAAATTGTTTGGAATTGAAGAGTAGACGGAAGGTGGAATTGGAGAAGGCTCACAAGAATTGATTAAATTACATGCTTGATCGACCCCGTCAGTTAAACTTTCTGTTCCGTCAAATAATAAACAATTTTGAGTTTTGTAGAGTGGATGGTCCTTTGAAAAAAAATTGAAAAAAATTTTTTAAGGTAGTTGTTTGGGTTTGTGCCCCTTTTTGGAAAAGTTTTTCACCTCAAAAATGAACTTTCAAGTAGAGTAACTCTCAAGTCCTTTGAAAAACAAATCTTTTAAATGGAAGTTGTTTGGGTTTGTGTCCCCCTTTTTGGAAGTTTTGACCACATAAATAAACTCTCAAACCCAAACTAATATGTAAAAGGGAAACGCTGAACTTACATCAGTTTTAAAAACGGACGAATCCCATTCCCGGTTTGTAATAATGATGTTTCAGGTTATCAGAAACTCCGACTTTTTTCGATCTGAAACCCGATCTCACCCCTGGACATTCCTTAATTGTACCCCGTCCCAATAAGTTAGGGGATTAGAAACACTTTAAATTCCCCATCTCATCCCCCAGCAGTTGTTTAACTAAAATTAAAAGACCTCGATGTCTTCCGTATGAAAGGCATAACCCAAAAGCTTCTCATCAATTTTGGGGGCCCATCCAAATCAAAACCACGATTTTAGAAATCTAAAACACCCCAATCACTAAAATCCATAATTTAAAATTAAATCCCCCAACATTCCCATGCTCCCATCTAGAGGGTTTAATAACTTTAAAAATAAAACCTTTAACGTTTTCTTTCTCAAATGCAAAGGAAAAGTAGCAGCATTTTCATCCTTCTTTTCAAATTGTTTAAAAAAATCTTTACTTAAAGGGTTTTGAATTTTAATTTTTGCTTGTTTAATTTCTGGATCAATTTGAAGAACATGCGCGTCTTTTAAATTATTTCTTCTGTTAAAATCTCTAAACATTAAAGTATTGTATCTTCCGAATTGCTTTATTGGCCTGAATTTTTTGAAAGGCATTCTTGGATTTCTGAGCTCTGAAATTTCGTTTTTTAAAAGAAATAAAAATTGGGCTTGTCAAGAAAATTATTCGTCCCCCATGAGTTAAAAATGTTCAGTCAAGATTTTTAGCTGATTGAGGGGAGTCGGAGAGAGCAAAGAAAAAGGTAAGACGTAAGGTACAAAATTCCCCAACAATTTATTCTTATGATGGGGATCACAAAGTGGACGAGACAAAGAAAATATTAAAATGAGAAAATATTGGTCTACTTTAGTGTTCGGCATAATCACTTCCTAATACCTACAGGAAAGATATTGGAATTTCCTAGTGACTGGGGCCGGACGGATTTTTTTCGCAATCTCCGGATCTACGTTAGAGTTCGGCATACCAGCAAGATATTGCAAAATTTTAATTATAAAATATAAAGTCAAAACAACTTTTTCTCACAACAAAAAATAAAATTCCCAATCAATTTTATCGTCTAAATAATTTATAAAAAAACAATCAAGTCACAAAAATTTTTCTTTAAACGAAGCTGTATATAAGCATATTGTTTTTTTTCTGGCATAAATAAGGTTAAGCGAGGAATTATTTCGGAAATATGCGGTTAAAAGCAAAATAATATAAAAAAAAATACGTGGTAAGTCAAAGAAACCTTCTCTTCTTTTATTCTTGTTCAACAGTTGCTTGATTGGTATCTTCCCCTTCAAATTCCCCCTCGTCTTCAACAGTCGCATCTTGATATTGCTGGTACTCAGAAATCAAGTCGTTCATGTTGGACTCGGCTTCAGTGAATTCCATCTCATCCATACCCTCGCCAGTGTACCAGTGAAGGAAGGCCTTGCGACGGAACATGGCTAAACGAGAAAATTGGTTTTTAGACTAGGAAAAAATCGTTTACCCGTGAATTGCTCAGAGATGCGTTTGAACAACTCCTGGATGGCGGTGGAGTTGCCAATGAAGGTCGCCGACATTTTCAGACCACGCGGAGGGATGTCACAAACCGCAGTCTTAACGTTGTTTGGAATCCATTCAACAAAGTATGACGAATTCTTGTTTTGAACCGACATCATTTGATCGTCCACTTCGCGCATTGACATACGTCCACGGAAGATAGCAGCAACAGTCAAATAGCGTCCATGGCGTGGATCACAAGCAGCCATCATATTCTTAGCATCGAACATTTGCTTGGTAAGCTCAGCAACGTTTTGGGCCTGATAGGCAGCTGCGCCCTTAGCAGAAAGTGGAGCGAAACCAGGCATGAAAAAGTGGAGACGCGGGAATGGAACCATGTTGACAGCTAATTTGCGAAGATCAGCGTTCAATTGGCCTGGGAAGCGAAGACAAGTAGTCACTCCAGACATTGTTACGGATACTAAAATTAAAAATTGCATTGAAAAATGTGAACAAAAATATACCGAGATGATTCAAATCGCCATAAGTTGGATTTTGGAGTTTCAAAGTGCGGAAGCAAATATCGTACAGAGCCTCGTTGTCGATACAATAAGTCTCATCAGTGTTCTCAACAAGTTGATGCACCGAGAGAGTTGCGTTGTAGGGCTCCACAACCGTGTCAGAGACCTGAAGAATTGAAAAATGAAGCCGTCTGTAACGTTAAAAAGAACCTTAGGCGAAGGAACAACAGAGAAGGAAGACATGATTCGGTCCGGATACTCCTCACGAATCTTTGAAATAAGCAAAGTTCCCATTCCAGAACCAGTTCCTCCACCAAGCGAGTGAGTCAATTGAAAGCCTTGAAGACAATCACAACCCTCAGCCTCTTTTCGAACAACATCCAAAACATTGTCGACCAACTCAGCTCCCTCGGTGTAATGTCCTTTGGCCCAATTGTTGCCTGCACCGCTCTGGCCAAAGACAAAGTTGTCAGGACGGAAGAGTTCTCCATATGGCCCAGCTCTAATCGAGTCCATCGTTCCAGGCTCCAAATCAACAAGAACAGCTCTTGGGACATACTTTCCACCTTGAAAATAAGCAAGTCTGTTAGTTACTTTTAAATGGAAGAAGATTCCAAACAGGTCCAGAGACCCCAAAAAAGACTTTCAGATGAGAGATTCTCAACAGACCTAAAGACCCCAGAAAAAAGTAGTGTGAAGTCCACACGAAAACCGAGAAACTATCATGCTTCGAAGAGCCCGGCCTCTAAGTAATACACCCAGAAAAACCGTATCTGAAAGTAGACACGAAAACAGAGGACTGGCCATGCTTTAGTGAAAACCATGAGCGAATTCTCGGTCAGTCTAGCTCCCAATACTACTAACACTCCTATAACTCCTAGTTAAACTTAAAAAAATACCATGAGCCTCATTGTAGTAAACATTGATTCGTTCCAATTGCAAGTCGGATTCTCCCTTGTAAGATCCATCAGGTTGAATTCCGTGTTCATCCGAAATGACTTCCCAGAACTTAAAATACAACAATACCAATCAAATGTTTAAAAAACAACCTTGGAACCAATTTGGTTGCCACACTGTCCAGCCTGGATATGGACGATTTCACGCATTTTTTGAGATCTTTTGTTAGATAAATTAAATAGTAAAACTAAAAAAAGGGAAGATTTTTTATTAGAACTTGAAAGTTAGAGTTCGACATTTCGACTTGAGGACCCGATATCCGGGGTTCTTCATTCAAACTTACTCGGGCCGAGTTTTCCTGGCTAAAATCACATACCCCAGGATTAGAGATCGAGCTGGACTAGACCAAGGCCTGGGTTTTTCCTGTACCCAGAGTTCAGTCCAGGCATTTTTTGACCTTCCTGGGTTTTTCCTGGGCCTGGGTTTTTCATGGACTGCAGGCCCAGGATCCAGTCCAAGTCAAGAAATCAAACCCAGAGTCCAGGAACAGGTCCAGGCTTTTCAAAAATCTCGATCTCTCCCCAGGATTTTATCAAAACACCCTTCCCAAGCTATCTGGCCCTAAAAACTCGGTCCCTTTTCCGATGTCGGACCCTATTAAAAATTTTCAAAATTAAAAAACAGCCAAAAAACCCCAAAAAACGAAATTATTTTTTCACTACATTTTCACCCTAAAACATTAATTTTGATGAAACCCTTTCATAAAAATAAAAGAAAAACGCATGCACAGTATTTAGCAAAATAATGGGGATGCAATGAGTGGACACGCCAACAAGGCTAAAATCAATAATAGCAATTATAAGTCTGTCCCAGAAGATCAACAAAAAAGAGAAATGGAGAAATGAGAGAATTGGGTCTTCCGGAAAAGGAAAAATTTCTAAAGTCGATTTTCTGGGTGGTAAAAAATAATTTGGCATTGAGGGTCAGAAAGGGGAAGAAAGTCTAATCCTGTCTATATTTACTTTAATCTACCCAAAAGATCAACAGATGCACAAAAGATCAAAAGATGATTAATGGAAGGAGAGAGAAAGGGAGAAAGGATGAAGAAAATTTTTTTGAATTTATTTTGATCTTTCATAACCCAAATAAACAAAGAAAAGATCATTCCGGATAAGAACAAGTCATTCTTTTATCTTTCTCAAATCAGCGCGTTGGATTTTAGATTAGAGATTTGGTGAATTTCTCTAATATATTTATTTTCTAAAAGCAATTCCATTAATTATTTTCCGTTTATTTCGTTTTCTAGAAATCAGCTCAACTTTTCCGGAAACAATTTAGAGGAATATTTTTAAAAAAATCCGGAAAGCACTTAAACATTTCCGGAAACAACTTAATAATTTTTCCGGAGAAACAAAATTATCTTTCCGGAAAGAGAGTGAGAGATATTTTCTCTCTCAGGAAAACAACACTCTAATATTTATGTAACTATAATTCCGGAAAATACATACTTTACACATGTATTTTCCGGAAACACTTGTAAGATATTTAGTGCGAAACACAGGACTATTTTTTCCGGAAAGAGCGTACATACAAAATACTTTCCCTAAACTTTTCCGGAAAACACATGAAGTATTATCCGAAAACACAACACAGTTCTTTCCGGAAAAGGAAAACACAAAATATTTTCTCTAACCTTTCCGGAAAACACATGAAATACTTAATGTGAAGATTCGAAAACACAACACCGTTCTTTCCGGAAAAGGCATACATACAAAATATTTTCTCTAACCTTTCCGGAAAACACATTAGACATTTAATGTGCTAAAACACAACACCGCCTTTTCCGGAAAAGGAATACATACAAAATACATATTTTCTCTAACCTTTCCGGAAAACAATTTAAACAACTAACTTTTCCAGAGAAACATTTCCGGAAACTACATAATTCAACTTTTCCGGAAGTCTTTTCTCTTCCCCAATGGAAAAAGGAGACAATAACAGTCATTATTATGAAGGCTCTCTACTCGCACAAAAAACAAACTGCAAATCCTTTAACAGCGAAATAAATTCAGAAAATAGTTCCTCAATTTATTACAATAGAAACAATTCAAGAATGATTTCTGCTTATGCTATGGAAGAACAAAAACAGCAACTTTTTGGAATTTGTGAATTAATACAGACAAATATTAAAGCTTTACTTGAACAAATTGAGAAGATTATAAGGGGGATAGCTAAAAGAGAAAGTGATATAAGTTATGAAGAGATGAGATCGAGATTGTTGGATATACTTGAAGAATATAGAGTTTAGTATATTCGTTTTAACTCGAACCTCGTTTTTAGATACCTCCTCTTAGAGGGATAGATTGTGTCTTATAATGAGGGGTACGTTAAATAGAGGGGTATTGCTTAGACAGCTCCCTTAGCAGAAATCGTCCTTATAATGAGGGTATGTTAAATAGAGGGGTATTGCTTAGACAGTCCCTTTTACTGAGGATATGTTAAATAGAGGGGGATTGCTTAGACAGTTCCTTTTATTGAGGGTATGTTAAATAGAGGTATCTAGTATCGAGAGTATATTAAATTGAGGTGTACCTAATATTGAGAGTATGTTAAAACGAGGTTCTACTGTATAGTGTAAAAGCTAGACCTCTATTTTGTAGACTAAATGAACTTTTCCCTTTTCCCTAAGAAATACTTGAGAGGACTCCATAAACCACAAGAGGGATTCACTAAATAGAGGGTCTAAAATTTAATTTTTTTAAAGCTAGGGGCATGGCCAGTATTGGTGGATGTTGACTCACAAGTTAAATTGCTCTCTAAAACGGTTAGGCAAACAATAGATTCATGCAATATAAGCGAACCTCGCCTAGCTTGGCTTCTTGCAATTAATAAATTTCAGGTAATAAGCGTTGAATAGAGGGGGAATAATTTTTCTTTGAAAAGGAAATGTAAGAAAAGAGTTGAAACTTTTACCAATTTTCAAAATTTGGGTAGGTTGATCAGTTCAAAGGAAAATTCTCAAATATTCAAAAACCAAAGAACAAAAGGATTTTTCGGAAAGAATGCTCTGAAAGACTTGATAAATTATAAAAAGAATCCTCGGTTCTTCCGTCAATCCTTGGCTCTTCTATCCCCGGTTCTTCTGTTCTGTTCGATCCATAAATGAAAACCCAAATTTCAAGCCTAAAACCTTCAAAATAAAATTTTCTCTTCTTTCAGGTTAATATGGAAAAAATGGTTGACAGATTAGTTAACGAAGTAACTGCAGATATCGAAAGAGTTATTAAATTAAATGTAAGATGTGATATTAATGGGCTTGAATTGAAAAAAGAGACGATTGAAATAATAAAAGAAATGAAAGAAGAAATTAACAAATCACAACAAAAAAGAGAATAAAAAATTTAAACATTTAAGATTAAAAGGCTTGAAAAACCTTTAACTTTCCTCTATAATCATACAAAATTTTATTCACATAAAAAAATATTTTTTTAAATTAATTTTCTACCAATTCAAAATCAATATCTTCAATTTCATCAATATTTGAAACTTGTAGTAAATCGTTTTCTTAAAAAATTTTTTTAAAGGTTTTACGAGGTAGAGGATATTGTTTTGGACCTCCGGTTACTTAATTAGGGATATGCTCATTATAAAGACATAGGCCGTGACTTAAAATCTAATTGGTTCTCTCAAAAATCTTTTTAGCAGGTAAACAGAACGCTTCAAATTAGAATCCATCTTCTCAGTCGAAGCTGATTGACTAGTAAAATCCATCTCCTCTGGAAAACTCGACTTTCTACAAAATTCACTATTGCTTCAGATGAGTTGGATTTTACTAGTCGACCAGCTTCGAGATAAGGTGGATTCTAGTTAGAAGAATAGACCATAATTGAATGAGTCACTACCGAAGCATAACTGATTGAACAACCACTCAACCCTATTGATGGGATATTTTTTACTCAATTCTTCGTGTAAATGCGGACACAAAATCAAAAGAAAACCCCCAATTATAATTTAAATAATCACCTTTCAAAATCACTCCATTTCTTAAATTAGAAGAATATGATGGGGAAGATACAATTAAATGAGTTTCTTCTTCTCTTTCTTGTTTTTCTTCTTCATTTTCATTTTTATCCTCCTCCTCTTCCCTTCCAATTTCATTAATTATAAGCGATGATGAAGGTGAAGGGGGTAATATACAAACAATTCTTTGTTCAAAACTTTCATCTTTTTCTGAATAATTTTGGGATGAATTGTCGTCTTCTGCTTCAGAATCCTCTTCTGGGTATTTGTCAGAAAGAGAACCACAATCAACTAAAAAATATTTATAAAAATTAATTTAAATGAAGAATTAAATGACTTTTTAGGGTTATGGCTAGAGATCGGAAAAATGTAAAAATCGAATCCAAAGTCGAAAAAAAAACAAAATTTGAAAATTATTCGATTTTACCAAAAATGTCGGTAGAATTTTAAAAATTATTCGATTGAATACTAGACTATGGCAAAGCAGAAAAAAATAGTCGATGTATTGTCATTTTTTCTGAACTAACCCTCAAAATACCCATACTAACTTAAAAACTATCAAAAACTTAGAAGTGTGACTTAAGGAATTTAATATTGGTAAGCTATTCTTTAAAAAGAACACTCTAATAGGAAGTATGTCAGCAGCTCCAAAAATATAAAACCGACTATACTTTTCGATTTGGAGGTCAGGGCCAAAAAAAATGCCAAAAATTGACGATAGGTTATCGACCATTCTCTACATAATGGTACAAGATTTATTAAAAATTTTTAAAGACAGTTCGAAAGGTTCCCTTGTGAAACCATCCCACCCCTTTTTAAGAAATCAAAACTCTACAAAATTTTAGAAAAATCAAACCAGAAACAATAAAAGTGGGCTCTATTTTGATTTTATTGGGTTGAACGTCCTTCTCCCTCTTTTCAACCCTCTTCTTCTTCTCTTCAACAACACCAACACAATTTTCATCCTTCTTTTTTCCTTCCTCAATTTTTTCCTCTTCAATATCGTCACTATTAGTTATTGTTTCCATCAATTCTTCTTCTTCTTCCTCTTCAGAAATGCTCATTTTTGAACGAATTTCCCCTTCCTCTAAATCATCATTTTTCAATTTTTTCTTCTTTTTTCTAATTATTTTTATTGAAATTTGTTCTTCATTTTCTTCTTTATTTTCAATTATTTTATTACTTTCAACAGTTGATTGACTTGATTGGCTTTTTGGAGTTTGTTCACTTTCACTACTTGAAGATTGATTTAATTCTTCATTGTCTTCTTGATTTGAACTTAAATCTTCGTCTTCGGATTCTGATGAACTTTCAGGTAATTCTTCTCCTGAAAACGAAAAAAAAGTTAACAAGGAAACAGTTTGAACTGTAGCCAAAAATCTCTTAATTATTTTTGCACCATCGTGTAGTCAGGGCCAAAAAAGCCGAAAACTGGCAACATGTTATCGACCCCGCTCTAGTGGTGTAACACACCCTAGTGGTGTAAATAAATAAATAAATAAGAAATTCTTGACTACAGTTCAAGATGTTCCCTCGTAAGATCTCTATATATTTCTTCAACAATTTGGGGTTGAAGAAATCATATATTATAATGCCTCAAAATAGAGGCCACCAATTCCCCACCAGTCCGGGTATCCGAAATTTTAGGTTAGTTCTGAATACCCGAAGATTTCCTAAATACCCAACCGTACTACCACCCATGGACCAACCAAAATTAAAAAAAAATGTACGTTGAACTGAAAGTGTACGTGAAATCAGAATTTGACTGTATTGGTTTCTTTTCAACAACACCAACACAATTTTCAACCTTCATTTTTCTTTGAAGGTTGAAAATTGTATCTTGGGAATAAATTTTTTTGGGCGACATTTCATCCCATAAGAAAACTTTTTGGGAAATAAAATTTAAAAGAAAAAAAACCATTTAAATCAGCCAATATCCTTGCTTTAGACATTCCACAAAGTATATCATAAACAATTTTATGTGCTTCAACTTCTGTTTTTTCCTAAAAAAATTTAATTTAAAAATTCCTCCATACAGAAAAAAAACCTCAAGTTCAGGAAATATTTCATAGAGTGTTTCCAAGTCAACACTGTCCATTAATTCTGTTGCAAGCTTTCTTCTATTGTTAATAAATTTTTTTAGAGGGCGAAAATGATCTGAAAAAAAGAAATTATAAGGAGTTTTTAAATTTATTTGATTGGCGCATGAATTTATAGAAAAATCAACAGCAAAACAGTTTACAGAAATACACTCTCAAAATTTAGACTAAAAATTACTCTCAAAGGTTTGAATTAACAACAAATTTTAGAATTTTTGGCTAATAGAGATGGGAATTCTCATAAAAAATACCACACGCTAAGAAATGCTAAAAACTAAAGGTAGCAATCCGACCCCGACAGATTTTTTTTAACAAAAACCTCGACTCGAACCCCGAAGGCTATAGCCCGACCCCGACACACCCGCCCACAAAAGGCCGGGTTGCTACCCTATTAAAAATCATTCTTTAGCCCAAACGCTAAAGATATTAAATCTTCAGTGAAGTCAAATACTAAAAATTATTAACGGACATTTCTGCACAATTTCAAGTCAAAGTCAGGTCTAACACGTCCACGCCTAACCAGTCTTAAGTTCGCCTACTTCACGACTAATCAGTCTTTCTAAACCCCCAAAAAATTTAAGATGAAAATAGAAAAATAAAAACCTCCATCTCTATGAGCTTCATTCACCATTTCCTTCCTTCTTTTCCCTTTAGTCTTCTTTTTCTTCTTCAATTTTTTGGCTTTTTTAGATTCTCGTAAAGATTCAAATCTTCTCCTTTCCTCTCCAGACGAAATTGGTTCCCATCTAGACTTTTTAATATTTATTTGATATGTTGCTTTCTTCTCTGGAACAATTTTTGATCTTTTCGGAAATGCTCTAGGGGGTGAAGATAAATCGGTGGAAGAGGAAGAAATTGAATGAAGAGAAATGTCATCAGGAGATTTTGAACGAGAAATTGAATTTTGTGGCTTTGGTCGCTTTTTGGTTGTTTCAGGATTTATTATTCGTGGACCATATAAGAGTTGATTGGGGCTTACATCTTCTTCTGCTGCTTTTTTTGTTCCATCCTTATCTCTGTAAATTCAAGGAATATAGTTAAAAAAGCTAGATTTTAATATTTTTACTAAACTAAATATAAAAAAATGTCATCAGGAAATTTTTAACGAGGAATTGAATTAGAATTCGATTCAAGATATAGGCCGGATCTATGGGTAGTGATGATCTGAAGAACCGAGGATTCTTCAGTACCGGTATCTGAAGACTTCCCTAAAGCGATAACCCTAGGTAAGAGTAAAAGATCCCAAGTTAAATTCTAAGACCAAGAAATAGGACTTCCAAAAAATATTAACCAGTGTCGGCATTTAAAACGAAATGAAACCTTAGGCAGCGCTAACCCTAGTCTAAAAACCCCCCTAACCTTTATAATTAAAAAAAACCTAAAATCCTATTAAACTTTAAAAATAAACTAAACTCATTCATAACCATCATCTTGAAGACATAATGTTTTGCCATTATTATTATTCTAATTAGTAGCCTATTTCTAAAAATAAATATAACTAAAAAAATATTTAAAAAAATAAATATGTATAAATTTTATTAAAAATAAATATATCAAAAATAATATTATATTTAAAAAATAAAGCTTTATTAACCCAAAAAAAAGAAAAGTAAATTATTAAATAAATCAACAACAAAATACTTTAAGATGATAGCCAAAAAGATTTATATATAAGTTAAAGATAATCACAAAAATTTAACAATTTATTTAAAAAAGGTAAGGTTTGAAGGAGTGATAAATATACAAAACCCCCATAACTTCCAAAAAATAGGAATTGTGAATTTTTGGAGTTTTCTAAATTTATTAAACATAAAATTCTTGAGGAGATTGATTATATCGGAAACAGGAGGGCTACCCTTAAAACTGATAGTTGAAAAACGGATTTCTTTTAAAAATACAATAATGCCTAGCAAAATGAAGAACGTGTGGGATCGAATAGAGGAAAGAAGAATTTAAAGGTTTGTTACCGGCAACAAATTAACAATCAATTTAGTTTTGCTTATGTCTCCGAATTTGTTTAATTTCATAAACTTGGATGCATAAACACGAGCTCTCGTAATACTTTCTTTCATTATTTGTTGTATATTTCCGGTAATAGTTAGAATTCCAAAAGTTTCATGCCCCAAAATTTTAGAGCATAAAATACGGCTTCCCATTGGCGTATTCCCAGTTCTTTTTATGATAAAGTATAAAAGTAAGTATTGGATTTTTCGAATCTTTGTTAAAAATTCTTTTATTAAATTAGGGTGGCCTTACGGGATATGTCGAGACCGAAATTTGGGAAAATGAAGGTCTCCGGCCTATTACCGTAACTGGAAATGTTACTAAAGTTATGAGAGAGAGCGTATGGAGGGCTCGGGTTTACGCCAACAAGTTTATTAAGGAAAATAATTATGGAAACATCGACAAGACTAAACTGATCGTGGACATGTTGCCGGTAAATAAACCTTAAATTCTGCTTTATGCAGTAAAAACATTAGAATGATATTAGCATATTTTTCTAATTAAATTTTGAATTCATAAGAGGAAGCAAATTTTGCGAATTTAAAAATTTGTTTAAATGATCAAACATTTAACGATCATAATTTTTGATCAAAAATCTCGACACTTCCTCTTATGAATTCAAAATTTAATTAGAAAAATATGCTAATATCATTCTAATGTTTTTACTGCATAAAGCAGAATTTAAGGTTTATTTACCGGCAACATGTCCACGATCAGTTTAGTCTTGTCGATGTTTCCATAATTATTTTCCTTAATAAACTTGTTGGCGTAAACCCGAGCCCTCCATACGCTCTCTCTCATAACTTTAGTAACATTTCCAGTTACGGTAATAGGCCGGAGACCTTCATTTTCCCAAATTTCGGTCTCGACATATCCCGTAAGGCCACCCTAATTTAATAAAAGAATTTTTAACAAAGATTCGAAAAATCCAATACTTACTTTTATACTTTATCATAAAAAGAACTGGGAATACGCCAATGGGAAGCCGTATTTTATGCTCTAAAATTTTGGGGCATGAAACTTTTGGAATTCTAACTATTACCGGAAATATACAACAAATAATGAAAGAAAGTATTACGAGAGCTCGTGTTTATGCATCCAAGTTTATGAAATTAAACAAATTCGGAGACATAAGCAAAACTAAATTGATTGTTAATTTGTTGCCGGTAACAAACCTTTAAATTCTTCTTTCCTCTATTCGATCCCACACGTTCTTCATTTTGCTAGGCATTATTGTATTTTTAAAAGAAATCCGTTTTTCAACTATCAGTTTTAAGGGTATCCCTCCCATTTCCCTAGAAGTCGACTTTCCCTAGAAGTCGAAATTCTTTGGTTAGAATGAAAAATTTCTCGGATCGTGTTAACTTTTAGCATACCCTGAACCTTCCCTTTACATAATAAACTTCAAAATTTAAACAATTTAAGAAGTCTTTGTTTTCTGTCCCTGTCCAGATTTTGTAGTTGTTGTCTGAGACGTAACATCCTTCGGTTCTTTGTAATAGAGAAAGACAAAACTGAAGAGTATAAGCTAAAAATAAATATTAAAATATAAACTCAAATTTAACAAAAAATACCCCAATCATCATCGAGAAAGCAGAAACATAATAAGGATAAGCACAACGACTGAATCTTTCATATTGGGTGTGTTTGAGTGGACGAACCGAAACCTAAAAATTTTTAAAAAATAAAAATGCAAATAAGATTGGAAAAAACCTGCTGAACATCGTATAAATGTGTGTAGCCAATACGATGATAGTCAACCAAAAATTTAAAAACACCATAAACATCAGGCACTTTAAAAGTTGTAGAAAGGCGTCCATCTAGAATAATTTCAATTAGTTAAAGTTAATTTTTAAATTAAGGTTCAACAACCCGTCCAAGGAGAAGAGAATTCAACGGGGAACAAGGGAGGTCTCCACACGTATCAGTTGGGACGGGTTACCCAAAATAAGTTTTTCGGTCAGATACTCGATCAAAAACCTCGTAATCTCCTCATAATCTCCTAAACTTCCCGATCAACCCGAGATACAATCCTAGAAAAATTTTTTCCCTCCAGGTCAGGACTTTAAAGGTGAAGAAATGCGACCCTCTAGAAACACCAGAATTTTCGCCTCGATTTTTCCCCTCTAGAAAAAATCTTAAAAAGAAAATAAAAATTACTATTGTTCTTCAAAGTAGTTCTAACAAAAGGATCAATACGCACAAATTCAAGTTGAACATCATCGCCTTTGAAAGGAAGCCATTTGCCTGATTTTAATTCCTCAATGTTGATTTCATAGTGCTTTAATATTTTTTTTCAATAATTTTTTTGTCAAATTACCCCAAAAAACTAACCACATTGTCCATAATTGTGTATTCAGTTGGAGGTGTTGATTGTCCTACTACATGGTGTTTAACTGTCTTGATACGCAAAACTCCTTCTTCTTTGAGGACCCACATACTTAAAGCTTTTGCCAATTCGGAATTTCCGCTTTTTCCCCTAAAAAATTTTTTTTAAAAATTGAAAAAGTTAAAAAAATCAAACTTTTCAGTAGTTCCAGCCTTTTGTGCATTCGCATTAAAAAATTCATTTGAAAAGAAATCGATAGAACCACTGATCAAAACTCGAGCATTATTTCTAGCTTGCATTGCGCCAATTAAAATTGTGGATTTTCCAACGGCTCCGGGAGTCTAAAAAAATAATAAGTAAATTTAAGCAAAAATAATACTCTTTAATTTTATGAAGTCTATAGTTTGTTCGGGATTCAATAACTAAGGAAACAAAGCTTAACCAAAGGCGAAGAAATAAAAACCATCTGACCCAAGGAAGGATGAGTTCAATTGAAGTTCAAGCTTATTTTCGAAAATCGTCTCTAATACAAAGTTATAAGCCTAGTGCTTAGTTTGAAGCAGAAAACTTCCCGACATAAAAATTAAATTCCTAAATTCTGGCATTCCCGAGAAAATTGTCACTCTTAGGAAACGGGACGGAAAGTTACCCTACAAGGAAACATCGTATATTTTAAGTGCGAATTTGATATATTTTCTGATGCCATTCAAAAGAGGACCATCGGCTTCCTATTGTAAAAGTGATGACCGTTTTCTTGCAAAATGACTTTGATCAGTCATGGCCCATCCTAAAGCTCTAAATCCTGCAAAATATCAAAGTTACCTCTTCAACAGGATTTTTAGGGTTGAAAGAAAATGCAGTAGATGACGCAGTCATAATCACAAAACGCAAAGGATTTGAACCTTCAGCAATTAACGAAACGCCTCTGTAAAGAAGAGGGCCCAATTTGGAGTTACCAACACCAGTAATTAAAGGAGCGTTGACTAATTGAGTGTTTGGGACGATTATTGTAGTGTGGTTACCATTGTCCTAAAATAAAAAGTTAAAAAAATTTGGAAGGGGAAAAACAAACCAAATTGGCATCATAACTAAAATGATCAATAACTGAAGTCTTGTCGTCATCAAATTCAAAGCCAACTTCCGCTGCAAGATCTTTAATAGCATCGCCCATGTTGTAACCTCCAGTGAAAAAAACATTTCCGCCTTTGTCGATAAAGTTTGAAATTTCAGAAACGCTTATGGCCCCTCCAAATTCTTTAAAAAATATATATTACAATTAAAGAGCGTTTATGTTGATCATAATAATTCAGAAAAGCAAAAATCAACAAAAAAAGGCTTATATGACATAGATATTACTGCTGTCAAGTTTCTAGAACGGTAAACAATGAAAAGGATACCAAAACCCCTTTAGATTTCGATATTGCCTTCGATAAAGCAACCACATCGACCCATCCCAGAAAATAGCAAAAATGGGAATTGATTCTGAAAGCCCTCCTGCAAAGCTGTTATGTAATTTTTTGATACAATAATTTATTGACTAAGCCTGATCCTGTGCCTGTAGCCCAGGAAAAACCCAGGAAGATCAAAATATGCCTGGGCCTGGATACAAAAAAACACAGGTCTTGGTCCAGACCCAGCTCGACCTCTACTAACGATGTTAATAAAACTACAAAGTTTTGACTTATGTTCCCATGTATTAGAAAAAAAAACCTAGGTAAATTTATAAAATAATTAAATAAACTAACCATCAACAGAAGGGGCAAGTATAATCAAATGTTCAAACAACAATTCTCCAAATTTAATCAAAGCCAAATCGGAGCTATCTGCCTGACTTGTTTTAATTGTATGTCCTCTTCCTTCGATTGATTTGATAAACTCTGAATGAGTTTTAAGAATTTCCAAATTGTCTATAAGCAAAAGAATTCTGTCCGCAATTGTGGAACTCAATAGAAGTAAGAATATTAAAATTTTAAACATTTTTTCTGAAAAAGAGATAAAACTGTAAACAATTAAAAAGTAAAGGAAATGAAAAAATCTGTCAAATAAAGGGTTTATGGGAGGAAAGTGAACCTATTAAAAATGGCCGTGGACAGACACACAAATTTGACGCAGGTTTTAATTGGAAAAGCGTGTGTTTCATGGCATAGATATTCTCCGTGTTCCTATTAAGGGTGTCGGGTAGTTGGAAATCCCCGATTATCCGGATCCGATATCCAAACCGAAAAGTTCGGATATCCGGTCTGTTCTCGGATCCGTATATCCGGATCCGAGAACCTTATTTCCTGTTCCTTTAAAAGGAATTCGACAAAAGTGCCCAAAACTCCACGTCACTAAAAAACAGCAAAAAATAAATAAACCCGATAAAAATATGAATGGGATTTGGTTAAATAATCAAAATGACATTAATTGAATGCACATTTTGAAAATTGAGATATAGTAAAATGTATTCTTTGTGGGGGTGGTTTACCTACTGTTATTCCTATAATTATTTGTGCGCCGAAGCGGCTAAACCCTTTCCAGATGTTAAGGGATAACGTAACGGGGAGGTTGTGATCGGGACGTTCCTAGAAGACCCTCGGGGTTGATCAAGTCCCTTGGTTTCTTCCCAACACCGAAAACACCGAAGTATTAAAAGCTTTTATTTACGAACTAGGAAAATGCGAAACAATAATATAAGTTAGCTAAAACATCATAAAACAATAATTAATCATAAAGCTAACAACTGAACCACTTGTAAAAGAAAACAAAAGAATTAAATAGTTGTAAAGTAGGAGGGATAAAATTGTTTGTCACATAAGAAATCATTGGAGATAATAGTGGACTTTGATATGCTTTATACCTCCCTTATCCGACAAGATCGTCCCTGATCTTAACAAAAAAAAATTGTTAGACTTTAAGAAACACTGGTTATTATCTATAGCTACTGTTTGAGGGGATGCACATAATTTATCTTAGTTTGTTGATGCGCTCCTGAATGAGCAATATTTTATCTATAGAGCTAAATGTGCGTCATACGACAGCACTCCGAAGATGAGTTTTATCTATCCTTGTGAACATTATTTATGGCATTCCCCTTTTTTATTATTTAATATTTTTATTACCAGTGTTTCTTTAAAAATTATAAAAATAAATGTTTTCTTTTTGACTATATCTTTTTGACAAAATTGGGATTTAAAGCATATCTAGATTGGAAGAAAAATATTGTTTTGAAAAATTGTATGGCTATTATGTGAATTAATTTTGGAATATTTAAAAAAATAATGGAATGTATAATTGAAATTTGTATATAAAGTATTTGTAATTTAAGTGAAAATTTAAAGAAAAATTAATAAATTCCACGATTGGAATTAAATATTGACAATATTGATTTTGTAAATTTACAAAATTTGTAATTTTATGAGTTAATTTTAAAAAGACTTATTTTTTTTTAAAAAAATTTTAATAGTGAAATAACCTAAGTTAATACATTTCTTATTGAGTGGATAATACAAAAATCATTTAGTAATAGAATAATTACAAAAAAAATTGTGTTTTTTTTTTGTGAGGAAGAAGAAAAATGTTTTGTAAAACAATTTGAAAAAAAAAATATTCTATATTTTTGAAACAATCAAATTAATGTTAAAGTAAAAAAAAATTGATTTAAGTATAAAACAAATTTGTTTAAAGGCAAAAATAATGAGTTTAAGACACACATTTTTTTTAATTAAGGAAATAAAGAGAGAAAAATAGTTTTACTGGCTTCAAAAAAAAAAATTTTAGTTAGGCTCATATTTCAAATAAATTTCTTAAAAAATGCATTATTTAAATTACGTATTTTGAGATAATAATTAGATCAAGAGAATTATTCATAAAAATTTAATGGGAGAGAACAAATTGTGATTAAAAAATAACAGAACAAACAAAAAAATAAATTCCAGCCATTTGTTCCATTGATTTGCAAATTAGTTGAGGGAGCCATGGGCTTTAAATAAAAAAATTTGTGTTTAGAAAAAAAAATTTTTTTTTTTTAATAGAATTAAAATGGCTTTCCTCTACCACCACGCCATGAATTGCAGTCTTTTGAAATATGCCCATATTGACCACAGTTGTAACAGTTTTTTGATTCTGATCGGGAAAAGGTTTTTCCAGTGAACATTTTCCAATTGTTGCTCGCGAACGGACGTTTCCTTAAATTTAAATTGTTAGTATTAGTATTTTCAAAATTTTTATTTTTATTTACAAACCATTCTTCTTGGTACCTGTTACCACTGCTTGTTCCTTGACCATAATTTCTCCACGAGTCATTGGATCGATCCTGAAAATTAAAATTTTCAACATTTTGACATACGTTTTGACCCTCCACAAAGAGAATTTGACCAAATCTGTCTCTTTTAACTCGATCTGACTGTAAAATATTTAAATAATTAGTTCCTACCACTGACGTAAATTCTGTAGCCTTTTCAATAAACCTTGACCAAACTCTTCCAGTTTTAAGCAACTCAATATCTCCTACTAGAAAGAGACCATGTTTGCTTCGACTTAGCGCTACAGTACTACGATTTTCATCAGAAAAGAATTCAGAGGAGTCCGTTGAGTTACTATCGTTACTATGAGAGCGAGTAGTCACGAGTACAATAAGATCCGCTTCCATTGATTGATAACCATCTACCGACACAGTGAGTACATTATATCCAAGTTTTTCAAATTCGATTTGTAAGCATTCTTTTTGAAAAAGATAAAGACAAATCACCACAACATTTACTTCAGGCGAAATGTATTCATACAAAGACGAGATGAGTGTGACAACCGAAGTCGTTTGCAAATCATTTGTGAGACTATGAGAAACTACATCTTGCCGAGACGAACCAACGACATTGAGTAGGACTATTGGACAACTTTGTGTAGGCAGTGGAAACCGAGAATTCGTCAACAACGCTCTTTCATCTGCAGAACGTCCAGGCTCTAATGGTTCATTATGAATTTCATAAGCAGCATACGACACACACAACACTAGTAAAGGATGCATGCGGTAACAGACAGAAAGACGAGTTTGGTGGACTGACGGTGAGATGAGTAACTGTGGAACAATCGAGTCAAGACCAAACCCATCATGAAGCGATTTAGGTAAATCTTGCAGATGAGTCCCAATTTGAAATTTATCGCCAGTTATGAGAATCTTTTCCAAATTCGGTAATCTGGCAACAAGATTTGTTATTTCAGCGAAGCTCGTTTGGGTTGCTTCATCTACAATGAGGACTGTTGTGTCAAGCAAAGAAGAGTAGACCATATTTTCGGCCATTGCTGCTGTTGAAAAGACTATTTTCAGATTTACAAGTTCAGAAAGCATCGAGCCCAGTTTCACTTCACTTGTCAAACGAGGGCGCGTTTCAAAGTTTTCGCAGTATTCTTTCACATCCTGTTTTGCATTATTATCCAATTTTTCATTAATTTCTTCTAATTTAAGTTTGGTGATAAGCATGTGACGTCTCAGCTCATTTATCATTTCTTTGTAACGATCCTTGGCAAAACCAGAGAAAAATGTTATTGCCTTCGACTCTTCCATTTCTTCCGGAGATAATACATTCTCAAGTTCCTTTGCGAGTTTGGCTAAAGGTAAATTAGCAGATGTAATAATAGCAATTTTAGCATTGGTGAGACTATGGAGAAGAATAGCTGTAACAACTGCTGCACAGAAGGTTTTTCCCACTCCGGGAGGTGCTTGCTGGTAAACCAGCTTGCACCCCCCAGAGAGCAAACTGTTGACCGTTTCTTTCTGCCTTTCATTCAATAACCTCATTAATGGATGAGGATTTAGTGGCTCGGGGAAATCTTCCAAATCTAGTATTTCAAATTCACGTGCCAAAAGAGCTTTCATTAATTGACCCTGCTTTGTGTCCAACAACGAAAGACGAGACGGCATATTAGCTGAAAAGCAAGTTCGACGACTTTCACTACCCTTTATTATTATTGGATGTACTACAAGCAGACCACCATCTTGTGCATTCAAAAATTCTTCTTCTGTATCTCGATTTTTACGTTCTTGAACATTCAGAACTCTTATCACTATACCAAAATTAAATTTGAGATTCCCGAAGGACCTGACATTTTCCGTTTCAATTTTTTTAACTACTCCAAGACCAAAATGAGGGTGTTGCATGCTGGACTTGAGTTCAACTTGATCATCAACTGCCCAAACACTTTTCAAATTTTTAACTTTCATAGAGTCAATTTCAGAAAACTTCAAGTAGAATTGTTTGTCCCAATATAATGCCGCACCTTCGAATCGATTTTCAATAATTTTCTTCCTTTCATCTTCGAACGAATATGCAATCGCGGCACTGATTATGCTTTCACAAAGTTCGACTTCCTCAATGGACATTTGCGGAACTAACGGATAGAAGACATTTTTACCCTCACGCTTGTAATGCCACGGTGAGTGAGAACGTACGGTTCCGAGAACACCTAGATCATCTCTTATCATTTCTTCAGAGCCCATTTTGAACTCTGATTGTGGCGGAAGAAGGTAAGCCTCATCAACTAAACATTGTTCAGGAATTTCAGCCACAGAAACCGTCACGAGCTGTCCAATTTCTAGTTCATCCAAGTCCAAATCTACCAACTGTCTCCTATAGCATTTAGAACAGACTTGTAAACCCGCCGAAATGACTAAACAACACAACAAGCTGTTATATTTCCCACCCCGCTTCAGACTTATTACAACACCAGGAAAGTCTCTTCTGTTCGCATGATGAATGAATTCAATCTCTTTAATTATTGCCTGAGGATTAATTCGACCAACATTCCAATTTTTTCTGTTCTGACTGACTTCAAACTCATTTCGAGCCAAAGTTTCGTAGCCAATTCTCCATTGAAAATCAGAAATAAAAACTCTATCTCCCAATTGCAGTTTGTTACTGAACCCTTCACTATTTTCAGCAATTTTATTAGCAACTGAGACGAAACATGGCCAATTTACATTCGATTTTTGATTCAATCTGGCTCCAATTACGTCGTTTTCCCCGACCTGAACTATGATATACTCGACTACTTTTTTCTCAGAATTATTTTTGTTTCCCCGAAGGGATTTACCCGAAGATTTAACACTTTCATCTACTTCAACATGTTCTATCGACATTCTCTTTGTATTTTCCGTTATAGTATCTACCATTGGCGCCGACTTTTCACTCTGAGAACTTGAAGAAGGCAACGACGGATTTGACCAGATTACCTTTTTAGTAGAGGATCCAAGTGGAGGAAATTCTTCTAAACTTGCAATGTTCAGACGTTCCGCATTCATTTCTAAAAAAAAATTATTAGAAAAAGATTTTAATTATTTTATATTTTTTTTTATATATATATATTTTAATCAATTTTTATTTTATTCTTACTCACGTAAGATTCTATCTCTAATAGTCATGAGGATTCTACCAAGTACATTCAAACCCCTCCACTTTTTCTTGTCAATTATGTCTTTAGAATCTATTTCCAGCCCGCAAGCCCAATACTGATCACTTCTACAGGCTTCCACTAAGAGTATACCACGTGTTGACAACAGAATTCTTTTTAACTCCGGATTTTGATTATATTTGTACCAATTTGCTATCGCCATTATTAAAATACAAATTCTGCGCCACTTTTTAGTATTATGTCCGGGTAAATTCGATCCTAATTTTTTGACCATCGCTGCCGATTTGAAATTAAGAATTTGCTCTGCTATTTCATAGTTGTTTGACATCAGAGCCTTATAATACATATAGTAGCCTTCTGATGAATGGAATGTAACCCCATCAACAACAAAAATACAATTGAAATGGTTGCTAAACACAAATCTCTTTGTAAAAAAAGGAAGTATCTCTTGTCCATCATTAGAACGTATTGTTTTCATTCTTAAAAGGAACGGCTAAAATCGACAAGAAAGAAAAAAAATGGATTATATTTTTTTTTAACAAAATTATTCGAGAAAGAGAAAAAATTTTTTTTTTTTTTTTTTTTAGTATCAGTGGGTACAACCGAAGTCAGTTCAAGTACTCGTTTTTATACTACAGATGGAGAATTAAGATTATCCACAAGACTCACAAAGAGATAAATTACTTTTAATTATATATTTTTAATTCAGAACCAAAGCAATTTTAGTAAAAAATATTGAAATCGCCGAAGCTCAATAGAAGTGGACCTTCTTCTTGGGATTTCTCCTTAGATTATATCCTCCTTTGTCTTGATGACTCGGTTCTTCATCTTCGTTAGTAACTTGTGGGGAATCTACAACTATTTCTTTATTCAGATGAGAATGCCCGGGAACATCAATCAACTCTTCTGCATTTGCTTCATCGAGAGCTGCTTCTTCTTCTGGTTCCAAGACAACAGTGGTACACGCCGGTTCAGATGGTAATGGTTCCACACATTTTTTCAGCTGATTTATGTGGACTATTCGAGGATTAGCTTGAGGAGAGTTACAGCTCGTTATTGTTACATGAACTCCGTCTATGTGTATTACCCTAAATACTCCTTTCCAAGGCAGATGGAATTTCTTCGATGTGTTAACTTTCCCCGTATAATTTCTAAGAAGAACTCTGTCACCTACAGTGATCGTGGGATTTCTAAGTAGCCTATCATAGTAAGCTTTAGCTCTTAATTGAGCCTCAGCATTAGCCTCAGCCGCGCATTTCCAAGCACTTCTTAGAGATACAATTAATTTTTGTTTAACTTCTTGTTCATCATTTAGCGCTATCGGTTCCCTAACTTTAGGATCTAATATTAAATCTACACAGAAAATGGGATCTCGGCCAAACATAAGAAAGAACGGGGTCTCATTAGTCGATTGATGCACCGAAGTGTTATAACAGAAATTAGCAAATTCTAAATGATCGTCAAAATCTGGTCGATCTCTGGAAATATACTTAGCTAAAATGTTATGGAACGTGCGAAATGATCGTTCAGTCACAGCATTTCCTTGACTCCAGTGTGGGATGGCATATGTTTTATTTATATACAACATAGCACATAAACTTTTAAAGAAATCCGAGGTAAATGCTGTAGCATTATCAGTGATAAGCTCGGTACAACCTCCAAATTTTAAATAGCAATTTTTGAGGAACGCCGAAGCTATAGTTGAAGCTTTAGCATCGGGAATTGGAACTGAAATCACAAATTTCGTAAACCAACAGACAATATTCAAAATGTGTCTATTGCCTGACTCAGTTCTTGGAAATGGACCTGCCAAATCTAAACCAACTTTAGCAAAGAGTGTGTTTACTGGTGGTGTACACATTTCAGCCCTATAAGCTGGGTTCGGTGAATGTCTAAGTTGACAAGTAATGCATTGTTTATGCCAAACAACAATGTCAGAATGCATCCTTGGCCAAAAATATTTTTTACATTTATTCAGAGTTTTTCTAAAGTCCATGTGACCCCCTCCTAATTTAGTCGTATGAAAGGAATCAAAAATTAACGCTCTGAGTGAGACCGGAATATAAATTCTTGGTTTATTGTCTTTGTGATGTAAATAAAGGACATCCGATTCCAAACACAGATCTTTCGCTAAATGTGCCAAGTCATCTTTTTCACTCTCAGGAAGTTCCTCAGGGAATTTCCCAGTTTTAAGAAATTCAATTAACATAGATGCTTCAGGATCCTCTTTCTGTTCATCTCTTATATCTACTTGGAGTATTTCACCTTCCATTGACCTAAGTGAGAGAGTTAAACCGAAGTTTTCATGCACAACGCGAGGTCTCTGTTCAAGTGCCAAGCAAACAGGGAATTCCGCAATATCTTCAAGTTCTTTAATTTTATCCACCTCTTCAGGTGACAAATCTTCATGAGAGAACCTAGAAAGCGCATCAGCTAACGTGTTCTGTTTACCGCTTATGTGAACAATCTTAATGTTATAATTTTGCAACTCAACTAGCCATCTCGCAAGATGTTGATGCGTTTCTGATTTTCTTAATAAGTACGCTAACGGCTTATGATCAGTATGCAATTCAACACTAGACATAAAAATAAAAGGTTTGAACTGCCGAAGCGAGTAAATTATAGCACCTAGTTCTACTTGTACAGGCGGCCACTTTCGTTCCGCATTAGACAAAGTTCTACTACAATAACTTATAACACTATAAACCCTTTTATCTTCATCCCATTGCATTAGTGCTCCCCCTTGTCCAACTTGCGATGCATCGCAGAAGATGTGGAAAGGTTTGGTGTAATCGGGAAAAATAAGTACGGGTTTTTCTGATAAAATTTTCTTTATTCGATCAAACGCTTCTTGCTGCTCTTCACCCCAAACAAAAGGTTTTTCTTTTCTGGTTAATCTCGTTAACGGCTCCACTATTGTGGAGAAATTTGGTACGTGCTTCCTAAAAAAATTAGCCATACCAATTACATGTCTTACTTCTTTAACCGAAGTTGGATTTTTTAAATTCAAAATTGTTTCAGTTTTTCTTAAACTTGGACTATAACCAGATTTGTTAACTATGAACCCTAAAAATTCCATATGATCAGAAGCGAAGGTACATTTTTTGGGGCTTAACTTTAAATTAAAGCGCCTAAATCTTTCAAAAACCCTTCTAAGTGAATCAATATGTTCGTCAAAATTTTCAGATTTGGTAAATATTAAAATATCATCTACATAAGCTATAACATTTTCTAAACTTGTCAATACATGTGCCATTATCCTAGCAAATGCACTTGTAGCATTTTTAAGACCAAATGGCAAGTTAACCATTTGATAAATCTTGTCCTCGGTAATTACACCACACTTTCTAGAGGCTCGTTCACTCAATTTAATTTGCAAGTAACCACTAGCTAAGTCAAGAGATGTGTAATATCTACAATTTCCTACTTTTTCTAAAATTGTTTCAAGTCTGGGTAACGGAAAATGATCTGGTACCGTTACTTCATTTAACTTTCTAAAATCTATACATGGCCGAAGCCCTCCATCTTTTTTCTGTACCAACACAATATTCGAAACCCATGGCGTGTCTGACTCGATCATGACTCCCGACGCCAGAAGCTGGTCAATGTGTTTTTGTAATTCATCTCGGTATTTAAACGGAACTCTGTGAGGTCTGGACGCTACAGGCTCTTCAGACGTAGTAATAATGTCATGTTCGCCAGCCGTGCAGCTTCCTATATCATACTGACTTTTGCTGAATATATCTTCAAATTCATTACAAAGGTCTTTTAACTTTTTGAGATCTTCTCCCACTACCGAAGTTTTTTCAAAATCAATTTTATAAGTTGGATCAACAATTATTCCTGCTTTCCCTAAGGAGTTCATTTCTTCTGAATTTTCATTTAGTTTTATTTCTGACAAAATATTTTCTGAATCAGTTTTTAGTACTTCACTTGCTATGGCTATACAAGTATCTTTATAAATTCTTTTTACTATTCCCGTGGGGTTAGACAAAATAATTCTTATAGAATCCGTGGGCCTTGTCACCAATGGCACTAGACTTAAACCTTGTTCAGCCAACCTATTTTCTATCGCATGAATATAAATATCATGCCTCAGAAGTTCAGAAAAATCAGCCCTAGCTTTCATTACACTCTGTTCGTTTGGTCCTATTTCACTAGTCTCTAAAGCATAAACTTTGAAATTTCTTAGCGGCCTATTTAATCTATTATCTATTTCCAAAAGACATCCTTCAATACGCAGATTTTTATTTTTAAAATCAATTAAGATCGGTGGTAGAAGGACCATCGCATCACAACCCAGTATAAAATGATAGTCATGGTTGTCCCAATGAAATTTGTCATTGAATAAATGAATAGTTATTTCCGCACAAATATTTGCAATTTTTAAATTAACCGAAGTTGCTTGCCTGGCACACATAGAATGCTCTGAGGCACTCTGTAGATATGTTTCAGTTTTGAAAATTTTTGTTCCTAACCACTCCGCTAGTCCTATATTTGCCACCGAAGTAATTGCACCAGTATCAACCAAACATTTAAGTGGGACTCCTTCTAGAGTTACACTAACAATAACATTGTTAGAATTAGATCCTAAAGCTCCTATGAAATTTCTGTTTATTCTATTGATGGATCTAGGCAAAGTACCCGACTCAGCTAAAGGTGAACCTCCTATTCTCCTGACAGTAGGTGGCCATGAGATCGACAATGGACGAGGTCTATTGACTGGTTCCTCATAAGTTTCATCAATTTCAATACTTTGCTCTGGTACTCTTCGAATGTCACGTATATCAAGTACCCTTTTTGGGACTTCCTTAACCTTAGAACCAAATATTAACTTCCCTAGTCGGCCATTCCCAGCATACATTTCAAGTAGAATTAAACCTAGCCTTA